GTCCTCAGCTCTGCTCATCTCCCCGAGACAAGGACCTGGAGGGGCGAGCGCGCCCTCAGCAGCGGGCCCGGGGCAGGGCGGGCTTCGTCTGACCCCGTCTCAGGTGCGCGAGGGGCCACCGCGAGGCTCCGGCCCGGGAGGGCGCGCGCTCGCCACGGGAAGGGTGCTCCCCACGCGGAGCCTCTCCCGGCCCACGGCGTCGGGGCTGCTTAACCATCCCCGCTTCCCGGGACCGCAGGGCTCGAGTGACCCGGCGGACGGCCGGAGGCACCGGAGGAGGGCGGCACGGACGGACGGAGGCTGGCGCAGCGCCGCCTCTCGGGAAGGTGGTTAACTGGCGGAACGGTGGAAAGTGTAACTGGGGGCCTTCGCTTCTCGGAAGAGGAACTCGGGAGCTCCCCCAGCGAGGCGCGAGCGCAGCCCACGGCGCGGCGCCCCGCCCCCTTTCCCGGCGCCCTCCTTCCCGTCGCGCTCTGCGTCCTTCCCGCTGCGCCTCCCCATTGGCCGGCGGGCAGGGCACGGCGCCTGCGCGCTGCGTCCCTCTGAGGGTCTTGGGCAGGCGCCATTTTGGCCCCAGAGGTGCTTCTGGGAAGTGGAGCGCCGGCTCCCACGCCTGCCCTTCTGCGGGGCACGGGCTCCAGCCGGGGCTCGGAGGTCGAGGCGTTCGCAGCGGCCGCCGCTGCGGTCTTACTCTGCGCGCCCTCCAGCGCTCCGGTCGGGCGGAACCTCTGAGCACCGGGCCGCGCCATCGGGGGTGGGGGTCGCTCCGCCAGGAAGGAGGTGACGGGGGCGGCGCGGGCGCGGACACTCCCGCCGAGAGCCCGCTTGCCATGGACTCGGAATATTACAGCGGCGACCAGTCAGGTGGGGCCGGGACCTGGGCGCCGGGCCGGGGGAGCGGCTGGTCGGCGGGCTGNCGGGGCTTTACCTGGACTTTCCACTCGCAACACTGGTTTCCCAGGAAAGGGAATGTTTTAGAGTAAACATTTAATGTACCTGTAGCAGTTGCTGGTGGGTTTTGTGCCTCTTCTTCACCTTGAGATCTTTTCTCTTTCCGCTCCCTGAATTTGGTCTCCTTTTCCGTTTATTCGGTAAACACTGGGTCCCCCTCTGCCAGCGCTGTGCTGGGCACCGGGCACGAAGGCGAGTAAGGCAGGACCTAGTGGGGAGAGAAGACGTTACGGTCGCTTTCCCTTTGTGCCCTAGTTCCATTGGCTGTTCTCTGTCAAAGTGCTTAAGTAACTGTCTAAATGTTAACCTCTCTTCTGTCCTGAGTTCACTTCGACTCACCAAGTGTGACAGAATAGTTATGACTACAAACGCTTTTCTAAGCATGCACTGTTGTTTTGCTAAAAATGTTTTCAAAATAGATTTTCAGTTCATTTGTGGTTTTAAATTATTTCTTAAGTAATTGTGTGTAATACATATTAAAGATTAAGTGCTGCAAAATAGCAGTTCCCTAACTTTACATTCTCTTTTTGATGTTTACCTCCCTACTCCTGATTTATGCTCTCTCGTTGATTCGTTTGTAGGCATTCCATGATTTCCTATTATGGGAGGACAGGATTTTATCTTATGTGCCCTCTTTCTCCCCCATACTGTCGCTGTTGCAGTGTAATTGTTAAATTTCAAAATAACTGGTTTTATTATGATTGTCTATTCTTTACCCTTTAGCCTAAGTAGAGTTGCTCTTTAGTAGGATAGTGATTCCACTCTTATGCACCTTTTTTGTTTTCCTGTAGGTGACTGCTTCATTTAAAAAATATATTTTTTAAACTTTTTACCAGGTCTTCCCATATTCTGCAACAGCCCTAAATTCCTCTCAATACAGTTTTACTTTATATTTTTAAAGTATTGGTTAAAGTGAGGTACCAATTCATTTTTACCATTTTGTAATAGTATAGTATAGTTTTTCTTGAAGGAGATCACACTATTTCTGAACTGCAGTTCCTTGTGCTATTCACTCATAAACAAACACTGTGCATCATGTACCAGGCACTGTTCTGGGCTCCAGCATTCACCAGTGAACCAAAATCCCTGCTCTTTTGGCACTTTCATTCAAGTGAGGCCAGAACCACATTAAACAAATTACTTGATAAATCATGTAGTACATTAGAATTTGGTAAGTGCTGTGGACAGAATAGACTCAGTTTTTAAGAAAGTTGAAATAGTTACAGAGCATACTATTACTTAGAGGTTGTTGATTTAGTTATGTTTCTTAATCTTCATATTCCTTTTATGGTCTATTTTTTTCTGCCATATATGTCACAGTACATGTTACAATTGTTGGTGTTTATGAGTATTGTACTGTTGTCTTGTTTACAACGTTAGCATTATTAGTTATGGTTCATCAATGACCTTTGCTCTTACATAATTCTTGATTCATTGTGTTCATTTCATCCGTAGATGTCATCCATCTTACACCTGAAGTGGGTTTTTGTTTTATTTTTAAGCAGATGATGGTGGCGCTACCCCAGTACAGGATGAACGGGATTCAGGGTCAGACGTTGAGGATGATGTAAATGAGCAGCCCTCTGGATCAGACACTGGAAGTGTAGAACATCATTCAGAGGTATTGGCTAAACAACATCTTCCGGGAGGCTTCCCTTGCATTATGTGAGACCTGTTTTATTTAGGGGTTGTAGAGACCCTGTCTCAAGGTTTAGGCTTCAAACCCTGGGAGTAAAGGATTGTAAGTTTATAGAGAACGACTTTAAAAATAAGTAGGGATAGTTTGGTTACTTATGAAATCACAGGGAATTAAGTTCTGGGTTGGGCCCCATTTCAGATATTAGGCAGTTCTTTATTAAGAAAATGGGCCAGGCTTTTGATATTTGACATTTGACTATGCTTCCCCATTCCCAAACTGATGACTTATTGGGGCAATGAGCATTTGGAAACCGAAGATATACCAGTTGAAATCAAAAGCTATGAGGGTTATCACCTGGCAAAAATTACCAGAATTTGGCTTTCTGAACTATTCCAGTGTACGAAATAATAAGGCACGTAACTTAAAAAGTTGTTTTTGCTTAGTAATATAGAATAGTATTGGATCTTGTGTACAGCATTTCAACATATTTGGTGTAATACGTACATATTTTATTTATTTTGTACTAATTTAATTTCTTTCAACATGTTCTGTAGCATTCAGAGTAAAAGTTTTGTTAAATTCCTAACTTATTATTTTTTATTCATGAATTTTTAGAGAGAGAGATCAATATCAGTTTGTTGTTCTACTTATTTATACGTTCATTGGTTGATTCTTGTATGTGCCCCAACTGGTGATCAAACTTCCAATCTTGGCATATTGGGAACTGTTTAATTTGCTTCCCTGGTTATATCATCTGTATCACACAATGTTAACAAAGTAAAATTGGGATACTTTTCAATAAGTCAGCTATGAGTTTTTGGTAAACATAAACTAAAACACATAAGAATGATAAATATGGCCAAATTTTCTTTTTAAGAGCTTAATATTGCCATATATTTTGCTTGATTATGCATGTGCAGAAAATTGTCCAGTTTTTAAGTATTAGGTATAATTGTGTTATTCACTCTTTCCTTGACATGTCATTAGTGTATTCATATATTCAATAAATATATGTTGAGTACCTGTTGGGTCAGGCTCTTTTGACATATCAGTGACCAAATGAGGTCCCACCACCAAAATCCTTCACTTCTTGAATTTATTTTCTAGTAGGAGGAGAAAGACATTAAACATTATACATTTTTTAAAAAGTTAGAAGATGATAAACACTATGGGGAAAGATAGAACAGAGTGAAGGATACCAGGATGAAGGGCAAGTTTCAGTGTTAAATAGGGAGGTACAGTAGGTGTTATTAAGAAAGTGACATTTGATTTTTTTTTTAATATGTTTTTATTGATTTCAGAGAGAGGAAGGGAGAGGGAGAGAGAGAAACATTGATGATGAGAGAGTGTCATTGATTGGCTGCCTCCTGCATGTCCCCTACTGGGGATTGAGCCCAAAACCCAGGTATATGCTCTGACAGGGAATCAAACTGTGACCTCTTGATTCATAGGTCAGCACTCAACCATTGAGTCATGCTGGCTGGGCAAGAAAGTGACATTTGAATCAAGACGTGAAGGAGGGTGAGGTAATAGCCATTTGGCCATACAGGGGAAGAACATTCCTAAGATGGGACTGTGCTGATGTCTTCAAGGAATACCCTGGAGCCAGTGTGGCTAGAGTGGGGTATGGAGGAGTGATGAGAGAGCTAAACGGACTGGGAGAAAGGCTTATCTTCTAGTTGTTTTACTATCACTCAGTTGTTTTTGTATACTCTTAAACATTTAGACTGAATTTTAATTAATATGTTATTTGATAGGTAGAAATTTCTTGATAATGTAACATTGTTATAGTGTGTTTAGTGTGCAATATCTTTTTTTTCTCTTTTTTTTTAAATCTTTATTGATTTCAGAGAGGAGAAAGGAGAGGGAGAGAGAGAGACAGGAACATCAATGATGAGAGAGTCATTGATCGAGCCTGCAACCCGGGCATGTGCCCTGACCGGGAATCGAACCCTGATCGCCTGGATCCTAGGTCGACGCTCAACTGCTGAGCCATACCGTCCGGGCAGTATGTAATATCTTAAGTTTCTGCTTTGGAAAACAGCATCAGGAGCTTGACTCATGACATCACGATTCAATTATAACCATAAAAAGGCTTACCTTTTAGCACCTTAAACTACTTGTTTGTAATGAGATGGATTCTAAATAAATAAATGCACATGTTGCTGTAGCTGGTTTGGCTCAGTGGTTAGAGCATCGGCCTGTGGACTGAAAGGTTCCGGGTTCAGTTGCGGTCAAGGGCACGTACCTCGGTTGCAGGCTCAATACCTGGCTCTGGTCGGGGTGCATGTGGGAGGCAACCAATTGATGTGTCTCTTTCACATCAGTGGTTCTCTCTCCTCCCCCTTCACTCTTTTTGAAAAGCAATGGAAAAAATATCTTCAGATGAGGAAATAATGAAATAAATGTGCATGTTGTCAAAATTTGGAAATTTTAAAAGTTTAAAGAGAAAATTAAAATTACCATACTTCTATTACAGAAATGACTTAACTTTTTTATATATTACTACTTTTGCATTTTTCTCCCTCATGTATATAATGTATGTATTTGCTTTAATTTACTTAAGATTTTACTATGTATCGGGTCTGTATAACATTTTCCATGTCACTAAAGATTCTCACTAGCATAATTTTTAATAATATTTTTTAATAATATAGATGCACCATTATTTATTCAACAATTTCCTAATTTTTGACATTTAGACTGTTTATGCCATTACAAGTGAAGCTACTGTGAACATTTTGAACATAAACACTTGTCCTCATTTTTTTTTGCTTGCTTAGAAATCTACCAGGAGAATTAGCCAGAATAAAAAGGCTAAGATATTGTAAGGCTTTTCATAGATATTCCTCTGCAGAAATGTTATCTTAATTTGCTTAATTATTGGTTAGTAGGTTGAGAGTGCCAGTTGTACTTGTGTTCTGTATTAATGCTCTTTTTCCTGTTTAAAATATCTTCTAAGGAGAAATTTTAAATTGTTTTTTAGAAGCTAATGGTATGTTAAGAGTATATTGTATTAAAAGGAACAGTGCAGATTACAGGTCCAAAAACTAAAAGATGTGTATTGGTTTCCTATTGCTGTCTTAAGAATTTGACACACATTTTGTGGCTTAAAACAACAAAGATTTGCCCTGGCCCTTGTGGCTCAGTTGGTTGAGTGTTGTCTGGTGCAGCGAAAGGTCGATGGTTCAATTCCTGATCAGGGCACGTGCCCAGGTTCCCTGTCGGGGCATGTGTGGGAGGCAACATACCGATGTTTCTCATGTCCAGGTCTGTCTGTCTATCTGTCTGTCTGTCTCTCCCCCCCGCCCCTTTTCCCTGTCCCTATCACCTGAGGATATTTTTTCCATTGATTTTTAGGGAGAGTAAGGGAGGGAAGAGAGAAACATCAGTGTGAGAGAGAGACATCTATTGGTTGCCTCCTGTATACTACAAACCTGCAACCCAATTATGTGCCCCCTGACCAGGAATCAAACCCACAACCCTTTGGTGCACTGACCAACACTAACCACTGAGTGATACTGACCAGGGCCAGATCCTTCATTTTTTAATTGGGCTATGTTTCTTTTTTATTATTGAGTTGTAAGAGTTTTTAAAAATAGTTTGGATACAAGGTCCTTGTTAGATGGCTGATTTGCAGATATTTGCATTATATGTCTTGTCTTTTCATGTTGGTGTCCTTTAAAGCACTAGAGTTTTTATTAATTTGAAGTCCAGTTTATCCATTTTTTCTTTTGTTGTTTGTGTTTTTAGAGACATCACTAACAATCCTTTTCCAAATCCAGGCATGAAGATTTACCCCTCTGTTTTAAGAATTTTATGGATTAAGCTCTTACATAAGGATCCAATTTTATTCTTCTGCACATGGCTATCCAGTTGTCTGATAGGAGAGTCTTGGCACACCCTCTTAAAAATCAGTTTACCTAAAGGAGTGATAAATGTTGATGGAAGGAGACGTGACTTAGGGTGGTGAACGCACAGTACAATATGCAGATGATGTATTATAGAACTGTATGCCTAAAACCTATATAATTTCATTAACAATGTCACCCCAATAAATTCAGTAAAAATTAAATAAATTAATTTTAAATTTGGATGGTAAAAAAAATCAGTTGACTGTAGGATATATGGGTTTATTTCTGGACTTTCGATTCTAATCCATTCCTATCTATGTCTATCCTCGTGCCATAGTGCTTTGAGTAAGTTTTGATATTAGGAAGTGTGAAACCAACTTTTTTCCAAGATTGTTTTGTCTATTCTGGGTCCCTTGAAATTACATATATATTTTAGAATCAACTTGTCAATTTCTGCAAAGAAGTCAGCTGGGATTTTGGTAGGGATTGCACTGAATCCATAGATCAGTTTGGGTGAGTGTTGTCATCTTGAAGGCATGAGGCCCCTTGATCCATGAATATGGGGTGTCTTTTATTTAGGTCTTTAATTTCTTTCAACAATAATTTTTAGTTTTCAGTGTACAAATGTTGCATTTCTTTGTTAATTTTGTCCCTAAGTGTGTTATTTTCTTTAATGCTTAGTAAGTGTACTTGTTTTATGAATTTTATATTCAGATTGTTCCCAGACATTTTTCTTATTAATTCTAGTTTACTTCATTGTGGTCTTGAGGTAAGTACATTTGGAGATGTTCCATATGTACTTAAGTTCATATATTCTGTCTTTGAATCTACAGTGTGTCTCCTGTGATCAACATATATTTGGATCACTTCTTATTCCAGTCTCTGTCTTCTGATTGGCCTGATAGAGTTGGAGTATGTCATTTTACTTTGTTTTCTATACGTCTCGTATCTTTTTGTAGTTAATCTGTTCCTCCTTTACATGTTTTGTCATTAAGTGAATATTTTCTAATGTAGCATTTAAATTTTTTTAGGACAGATCTCTATCATTGTAAAATAAGAGATTTTTTTAGATAAGTTAGAGTAATTCAACTTAGTTATTGAATTTTTTAGTAGTTAAATCAGCTCATA